TTAGGTTACCGATGTTCGCCTTGCAAGAGCATGTGCCATATTTTAAGTCCAGTCCTGGTAACTTCTTCAAAGTTTATTCCTTCACTTCCACAAAAACTGCAAGTGACTCTGCCGGCAAGCTGTCGATTGAGCTCGTCCAGATTGACAATACTCTGGTATTTCGTGTCGCTCGTTTCGAACTCTCCGTCATCAGTTTCGTCTGATTCTGACGATGAGCTTCCATGGTAAGTTGCATTATCGAAAGCTTTGATTTTTAAGCGACTTGCTCTAACGGAAGAACCAAGTGAACCAGCCGAATTAGACCGCTCGTGTTCATCGGTCGATGTCGACAAAGGCGCTTGGCCGAACCAAGAGCCTTTGTCGCTTTCTGCGAGGCTTTTTTTCTTTCTTCCCCAAAACCTTTCCTTTTTCTCTTCTTTGGCCCTGGTTTTTTCGTTGATTTTACCCAAGGACTTCTTTCTGTTTAAGATTTCTCCATGAAAATCACATGAAATAAGAACCCGCTTCCCGCGAAATTTCCTCCGAGACGTCACCTACTTATGAGATTATGACACCTTCATTACTTATTAACTTTTATTGGAAAACAAATTTTGTTAAATAGCGTCGGCGATTTTTGAGATTTTTAAGTTTTTTTTTTCTGTAAATGTTAAATAAAATGATAAACTTCAATTTAGGCAAATAAAAAAAATGTTTTTTTTCACACTTGAAGGTGGGAAGTAACCTTAACGGTTGTCCGTTAGTGACGTTTTCGGGTGAAAGGCTACAAATGTTTATTCAAAAACTGACAGAGCGATACAACAACATTTTTCTTGGATCGCGGTGGGCTAGTTTACCTTTTCTCCATCTCGGACAAACAAACAACTTCAAGCTTTATTCTTTATTCTTTATTCTTTACCATTTACTCTTTACTCTTTACCATTCAGTCTTTACTCTTTTACTTTTTACTCTTTATTCTTTACTCTTTACTCTTTACTCTTTGTCCTTTGTTCTTTGCTCTTTGCTGTTTGCTGTTTGCTGTTTGCTGTTTGCTGTTTGCTGTTTGCTGTTTGCTGTTTGC